TCTCTCTGCTATAGGAAGGATGTTGTGAAACTTGAAAGGGTTCAGAAAAGATTTACAAGGTGATGCCAGGGTTGAAGAGTTTCAGTTATAGGGACGTGCTGGGGCAGTTTTCACTGGAGTGCTGGTGGCTGAGGGGGTGACCTTATAGAAGTTTATAAAATCATGAGGGGCATGGATAGGGTGAATAGCCAAGATATTTTTCCTTGGGCGGGGGAGTCCAAAACCAGAGGGACATAGGTTTAAGGCGAGAGGGGCCAGATTTAAAAGGGGCCTGAGGGATAACATTTTCACACAGAGGGTGGTGCATGTATGGAACAAGCTGCCAGAGGTAGTCATAGAGTAGTACAACGTGGAAACAGGCCCTTTGGCCCAAACTGGCCCACGCTGACCACGGTGCCCACTCAGCTATTTCCAATTTCCTGCATTTGGTCTATGTCCCTCTCAACCCTTCCCATCCATGTACCTATCGAAATGGTTTTTAAATGTTGCTATTGCACCTGTCTCAACCACTTTCTCTGGCAGCCCATCCCATATACACACCACTGTCTGTGTGAAGAAGTTGCCCCTCAGGTCCTTCTTAAATCTTTCCTCCCTCACCTTAAACCTATTCCCTCTGGTTTTCAATTCCCCATCCCTAGGAAAAAGACTATATGGAATCATCCTATCTATGCCCCTCATGATTTTATACACCTCAATAAGGTCACGCCTCATTCTCCTACGTTCCAAGGAATAAAGTCCTATCCTGGCCAACCTCTCCCTTTAACTCAGGCCTACTAGTCCTGGCAACATCTTCATAAATCTTTGCACACTTTCCAGTTTAACTATGCCTTTCCTATAACAGCCTGCCCACAACTGTACACAATACTCCAAGTGTGGCCTCAGCAGTGACTTGTACAACTGTAGCATAACGTCCCAACTCCTATACTCAAAGCCTCAATGAAGGCCAGCATGCTAAACACCTTCTTCACCACCCTGTCTACCCATGATGCTGCTTTCAACGAGCTATATACTTGTACTCCTAGGTCCCTCTGTTCCACAACACTCCTCAGGACCTTATCATTTACTGTACAAGTCCCTACCTTGGTTTGACTTTCCAAAGTGCAACACCTCACACCTATCTGTATTAAATTGCATTTGCCAATCCTCAGCCCACTTCCCCGTCTGATCAAGATCCCTTTGTAATTTTTGATAACCTTCCTCGCTATCAACGATACCTCCTAATTTTGTATCATCTGCAAACTTACTAACCATGCCTTGTACATTCACATCCACATCATTTATGTAAATAACAAAGGTCCCAGCACCGACCCCTGTGGTACACCACTAGTCACAGGCCTCCAGTCTGAGAAACAACCTTCAACCATCACCCTCTGCTTCCTACCATCGAGCCAAATTTAAATCCAATTAGCCAGTTTTCCCTGGATCCCATGCATCCTAACCTTCATGACTTGCCTGCTGTGTGGGACCTTGTCAAAGGCCTTACTAAAGTCCATACGGACAACATTCATTGCTCTAACCTCATCAATCCTCTTGGTTACCTCTTTAAAAAAACTCTAAAAAGATTTGTCAGACATGACTTCCCGCACACAAATCCATGCTGACCAACTCCAATCAGACCTTGACTGTCCAAACGTTGGTTGACCTTCTCCCTCAGTATGCTCTCCAGTAACTTGCCTCCCACTGATGTCAGGCTCACTTTGCTACCTTTCTTAAACAATGGAACAAAACATTAGCCACCCTCCAGTCTTCTGGAACTTCACCAGTGACTGAATATGAAGCAAAATCTCTGCAATTTCTTCCCTATCCTCCCACAACGTCCAAGGATGGACTTGATCAGGCCCAGAGGATTTATCCACCTTAATGTGATCTAAGGCTGTATACACCTCCTCGCTGGTAATATGCGGTCCAAAGCATTGCCACTTGTTTCCCTTATTTCCTTAGCATCCATGATTCTCTCCTCAGTAGACAGCGAGGAGAAATATTCATTAAAAATCTCCCCCATCTCCTGGTAGAGGAGGAGGCTGGTACAATAACAACATTTAAAAGGCATCTGGATGGGGACATGGATAGGAAGGGTTTAGAGGGATATGGACCAAAAGCCGGCAAATGGGACTGGATTAATTTAGGATATCTGGGTCAGCACGGACGGGTTGTGCCGAATGGTCTGGTTCCGTGCTGTATGACTCTATTAGTTCCAGATTTCCAGCATCTGCAGTAGTTTGCTTACAACCAAAGGTAGATCAGGAAAAGTAGGGGAGTTGAGGCAGAGGCGCGGAGGGTAGCGGGAGAGTTCCTGTACACTGTCCTTGAGTCACCCTGTTAGAGGAAGGATATCATTAGGCTCACAAGAGGTTTCCCAGGATGTGGCTGGGAATGAAAGGTTTGAGTTAGAAGAACAGGCTGGGAATTTTTCACCAGAGTATAGGAGGCTGAGGGGGGAATAGAGGTTTATAAAATCATGAGGGGCATGGATAATGTGAACAGCAAGTGTCTTTTCCACAGGGTGCAGCGGTTCAACACCAGGGGGCACATTTTTAAGGTGAAAGGAAACATGGGGAGGTGGGGGGGCAACTTGTTTTTTGTTACACAGAGTGGTTTGTGTGTGGAATGAACTGCCAGAGGAAGCGGCGGATGTGGGTACAATCAAAACATATACATGAATAGGAAAGAGATATGGGCCAGGAGCAGGCAGGTGGGACTAGTTTAGTTGGGGATTAGGGTTGGCAGGGACTGGGTGAGCCGAAGGGTCTGTTTCCGCGCTGTTATAACTCTGTGACCCGCCCCCTACCAGGTTCCACAGCCATCACGTCATCATCATCTTCCTCATCGTCGTCCAGGATCTCAATCACTTCCGACAGTTTAGCACCATCCTTCTCGTTTGACCCCTCTGCGGCCGTCTCCTCGTACTGCAGGCCCAGGTTGTTGTACAGATCCTTCACCATCGACTCGCACATGTCCACTGACCTGCAGGCACACGAGGGCACGGCGGCGTGGAGGGGGTGCCAAATCAGAACCGAAACGAACCAAAGAGAGCAGGCCCCAGCCCACGGCACACAGCGCCAATTCCAACAGCTGCCCTGTCTCGGAAAGGCAAGGCACTGCATGCAGGGGACTGGGGGGTGTTGTGTAGGGAGAGGACACACAAGCTCGAGGAAAGGGGTGAAGAGATCGCACGTGAGACAGAAATAGCGGAAGGACACGGGCGCGCAGTGAAGGACAGAGGGGGGCAAGGGGGCGAACATAACACACAGAGCGAGACGGGCAGGGCGAGCGGGCGGGCAAGACGGGCAGAGCGCGCCGGCGGGCGGGCAAGACGGGCAGAGCGCGCCGGCGGGCGGGCAAGACGG